GGAGGCCGTGCGGCGGCCGGTGGTGCAGCGTGAGCGTCGACCCGTCCCGGAATACCAGCCGGATCGGCCTCGGGATGACGGGCGCGATTGCGTGCACGGCGCGCGCGCGGAAGCCAAAGCCCGAGTAGGGCGTGAGCAGCACTGCGAGGGCGCCCGCCAGCAGGGCGAAGGTGCGCTGCACGAGGGTGCCCTGCGTGTCGAGCAGCCCCACCGCGCACACCACCCACAGCACAGCCGAGCAGAACAGGCCCAGGCTCACCATCCAGCCGCCGCCACGGCTGAGCCCTAGCCAGGAGCGGACGGCGCGCAGAGCCATGCGGAGCGCAGTCGGCTCCTCCGAGTGGCCGCCGCGCTGCGCCGCGGCCTCGCGCCGCGCCATGTCGGCCGCGGTCGCGGCCGCAGTGGAGCCCTCCACCACCTCCGCGTCGGGCGGGCGTGGACCCGTGCTGCTGCTTCCCTCGCGCGCCCCACTGATGCTGCGGCCTTGTGGCGGCGGCCGCGGCGGCATCACCCCTGCTCTCGCCGGCACCGCGGGTGCGGCCGCCGAGGGCTGATCCGCAGACGTGAGCAGCAGCTGCTTGGACGCCTTGCGCTCGCTTCGCGAGCGGAGGTTCCGACGATGGGCCGGCGGCGCCCAGCACCGGTCCATCGTCGTGAAGCATCGCATTGCAGATTCAATCTGTGGCGGGACGCAGCACCGCGTGAGCGGGAACGGGTGGGGTGGAGCAGTGAAGCGAGCGGCCTCGCCGTGTCTTCAGCGCGGTGAGCCCCGACTCGGCTGGGGTCTGCTTGAGCGAGGAGACTGTGGAAGGTAAAACACGTCGGCGCGTTTCTTTTTTGGCTTTCTCTCTCGAGCGAAAAAATCCACAAAAATCAAGACTGAAATTCGCAAGTATGCTGTAGGAGAAGATTTTCAATACCAAGCCCCCTGCGCCCTGGCGCGAGCCAAAGACACTCCTAACCACATCCCCACTAGCACTTCTCTCCAGGCAGGCAGGCCTGCGCCTGATTTTTAGCAATACCAGAGAAGGCCCGCCGCCTGAACATGGGCTGCAAGGCGCGCGGGCAGCCCAGCCAACCCTTCTCCCACAAGACCGGCCACGGCTACGTCAAGGCGCATCGCGGTTTCTACCACGACGCGATCTTTGTCAAGCGCAACAACTTCAACCTGCTGCTCCACGAGACGTTCGGCGGCGGCTTCTCGCCCACCGCCGTTCTCAAGCTGCGCCGCCTCGCGCGCAAAGTCGCGCGCGGCAGCGTTGACCGCACGGCCTACTCGCCCAAGTACTCGCTTTCTTTTATGTCCCACCATGCAGAGCGCATCTCTCTCTCTGTTGTGCGAGGCGTGAACCGCGCCATTCGCTCTCACCTGGCAACCCTGTCTGCACGTCTCGCGCGCGCGTGAACAGGGCTCCAGGCCCCAAATTACGTGTGAGTGTTAGAGTTGCGCCTGCGGCCTGGCTGGACGTGGGATCCGCAGAGTGATGGGTCGCCTGAGACGTTGCACGCGACTCTGAACACTGAAGAGCCGCAAGTGCCGCCACGCCCCACGCCCGCCTCTCCAACCTGACCTACGGCTTCCGGTCTCTCGCCGCCACCCGTCGCATCTCGCAAGCCGCACAGATCACGACGGCACGCGTTACGACACGAGGCAACCCGCCTCCATCGCTCCCCGCGCAAGAGAGTGAAGAGCCGGCTGTTGCCGGGGTTTTGCACCGGCGCCGCGTCGCGCGTGCGCTTGGGCGCGGCGTGTGGCGTCGACCCGACGACCTTGTCCCCACTCAAGGTTATGGGAGCGGCCATAACAGGTGTTATGGCTGTTATGGCTGGCTGCTCATAACACCCCATAACACCCCATAACACCTCATAACACCTCATAACACCTCCATCGCTGTTATGGCTGTTATGCCCACCCTACCATAACACCTCATATAACACCTCATATAACACACCTTCATAGCACTCATAACACCTCCCACTGTGGTTGTTATGACAGCCAGCATAACAACCTCATAACAGCTGTTATGACTCTAGAACTTGAGGATCGTCGAGGGCTGGCAGGAATTAGATGTCGCATGTGAGTTTGGCAGCTCTCGTGCGAGTCTGGTGGAGGTTATGT